TCTCAACTACATGCTATTAAAATACCTAAATAGAAGCCCCATCTGTTTGAATAGACTGAGCCTGATGAATCAGCAAGAGGGGTGGGAGGCTGATCCAGCCAGACATGAACTGATCCAGCGGGGAACAGGCAGCTCTCTCTCCCTTTGCTACCCCAGAGCGCTCACAACAAAACATGCAGATTTATAAAGAGAAAACAGAATCAGGCAGTTAGGAAAACATGAGCGCTGAAGCAAACCACATGGCAGTGTCTGTGGGCTAATTAACAGGTCTGGCTGGAGCACCTTGTCCCAGCTGTGGCTCGTGCAGAAATGTTTGTAGGAGCAGGAGCAAGAGGAGTTCAGGGAGTCGCCCCTTTCATAATTCCTGCACCTCTGGAATTTAGATTTTGTTTTCATGCAATTATAAAAAGCATTTTTTTATAAAGCAGGATTTATTTGGGGAGCTGTTGCTGGTGAAGTCACCAAGGACCTAAAGACCTAAGATAAAATACAATGATGGAAAAATGTTGAGGAAGCTGCATCCTTTTTTTTTTTTTACTTCCCCAAGAATTTTGCATGAACATCCATCCATCCTTCATGAGATGTTATCAAGCCTTCATTTCCAGATTGTCTTGGCTGCCAGAGTCATAATCACAGTCAACTTCTCAACTACCGGTCTCCTTTTCCCCACCTCTCTTTAAATACCCTGGGTGTGGACTGCATTCTTTGATGCTGCCACTGAAGAAGAAAAAATATTTGGGGGTGGAGTCACTCTTCACCACACTAAAGCACATGTTGGTAAATGTTCTTTCCTATGCTCTACACCTCTCGGGAACACTTAGCACACAAGGCCTTGCACACAATAGGTGCTCAATAAATAATCTGTTAAATTGAATCATGTCTCAGTTCTCTTGGTTAAGAAAAAAGTGTTTGATGTGCGTTCTTATCACCACCACTGGTATGATTTTTCTTCTACTCCTGTCAACTCGGTATGTACCTTTAACCCAACTCACCATACACATGCAAACACAGTCCCACCCTATCCCATTCAGGTGTTTCGATTGCTCCTTTAAGGTTTTATTTAGGGTAGTTTCTTTATTAAATGAGAGGGGAACTGAGTAGAGTATAAGAATAAAAAAATCCGGATTCTGGTTCTAGCTGTGCCATTCACTTTGAATATGAGGTAAACTCAGATTCCTCATCTCTGAAATAAGATAATAGTAATATATGTCTGGCTTACCTCCCAGCGCGGTGCAAGTGTCAGATGAGCTAATACATATGAAGGCCCTTTGAGAACAGAGGAAGTATTTTAAATGACCATTCTTCTAAGTCCCTAACCCCTTCCTCTAAGTGCATGTACCCGGTAAAGCACATGTAATATTATCAAGAGAAGTCTTCCATAGTGTGTTCCCGGGGACATGTGTTCCTCCCTTCCCCAGGAGAAGCTAGCTGGCTGGCTTCCTGGGCCTGAATGGGACACTTACTCTGCTGCATCGACTGGGTCCAGGGTCAGCCCCTCAGCTGTGCAGCCTCAGAAACTCGATCTTGGCAGAGGCTCTGAGTTGATCAGACTCAGGGATGCTGACTCATACTCAGTCACAAGAGACTGATATATAACCAGAATGCCAGTTGATTAATTTACCGTGAGAAACATTTGACCTGATCTGCCCCTTTTCTCCATTTATACCAGTTGTGAGGGGAGAGAGATTATCAGAAGGTTGCTCAGTGAGCAGGGGACTTTGACAAGGGGAGTTAGACCATTCAGATGCTTAACATCAGGCTCTGCTCATCAGCTCTGCTATCTTCTCAACAGGAATCTGCTCTCCAGATGGTCTAGATGTTTCTGGCAGGGAACCCAATTCCAGAATCCTGTTTGCATGAGCCAGAATGTACCAGATGTGCCCTTTTGCCCACATTCCCTTGGCTGGCCAACCCTTTTCTGACCTACACATTTGCTTTTTATGTGTAAATCCTTCCAGACCTCTTCCAGTCTAACTGTGGTTCCCAAAGCCAGTCTTCTGGCCAGGGTGGGGCTGATTGCCACAAAAGTACCTGGAGGGTTTACAAAGAAATGGGAATCTTTTTTGGGGTTTAGGAGTCTGAATGTTTACAGGGAGCACAAGTGACTCTGATCATTAGCTAAGTTGGGGAACCACTGATATAAAAGTTTTATTTGGCTAAGAATTGTACTGTTGCTTTAAGATGACGTTACATATTCTGATCTGATCCATTATGGATTGATTGTATAGATTAACTTTCAGAATAAAACATTATTTCTTAGTTCTTAAGGGCCTATCACTGTTGCATCATTGAACCAATTCTCGCCCCTCTCTTCTTCCTTCCCTTCCTCTCTCGCTCCCTCCCTTCCTTCTATCCTTCCATAAATATTTATAAATACCTAATGCATAAGGAAGCTTAACTAGAGAAGGTTGTGGCAATCAACACTCCCAGTGCCAAAAGCAAAAGCTGCTTTTAGATGCTAATAGACTTTGAGGATTAGGACACATAATCCTGGTGCTTCAAGGCCAGCCAATAAAGCCAAGGCCTGACATTGAACAATCTAGAGACAAATTCCCTGTGGTAAGTAACCCTGGGTCTTGGCATACTTCCTGAGCTGATGTCCTCTAGGAAACAACCTTATGCTCACCAGTGGCCTTGAGGGAAACTACATGTCCCCATTTGTTTCACGGCAAGGAAAACGGCTGCTTTTCCCTCAAACATGTTCCCGTCTCACTAGTACCTGGCAGTGGCTTGCTTCCAGCAGAGTGCCCAAATCAGTGGAACCAAGTAAGCATCCTCTAAGGAGGGGGCCAATGTGGGATTGGCATCCCAATATACTAGGCACTGTGCTTTCATAGTTGGTATGTCTTATGCATCATAAAAACTACTAATAAGGGGTAAATAACCCCATTTGCCAAATAAAGAAATTGAGGCTCAAAGAGGTCAATTTGCTAAAGTTACTTGCAAGCAGTAAGTGGTAGAATTGGGATTTGAATCTAAGCCCATTCAGTTCCCAAGTTTTATGTTGATTTTTTCCCATGATCCTTTGCTGCTTAGTAAACAGGAGCTTTAGAAGTGGGAAGTTTTGTGTGTGTGTGTGTGTGTGTGTGTGTGTGTGTGTGTGTGTTATTGATTTCAGAGAGAGGAAAGGTGAGGGAGAGATAGAAACATCAGTGATGAGAGAGATGCAGGCCCCCTACTGGGGATTGAGCCTGCAACCCAGGCACGTGCCCTGACCAGGAATCGAACCTGTGACCTCTTGGTGCATGGGTTGACATTCAACCGCTGGGCCACACCAGCTGGGCTGAAAATTTTTTTAGATAAAGGCACCTAATCTACTTAAGAGGTATTTTCAAATAATCATAGTGTTCTTATTTTTGCACACTTCTTACAATCACCAATTTGTAGTTTCTAGCTTCTTTCTGGGAAAGTTTTCAATAACCAAAGTTAGTAAACTCCTATTTATAGGGGACCTAAGTTATATTTCCCTTCTGCCATTACCTTTTTGTATTTACTGGGTAAACCCAGCATTTAAAAAGCTATTTGGTAGTATGAACAGAGGAAAGAACAGAGGCAAGTTTTAATTTAAGTAGTGACTATGGATTAATTCCCTGAGAGTGACAACTATTTTTATCAAGATAAGTATTTATCTTAATAAAAGGTTATTCTTACAGTTCTCGTCCATTTCCAGACATCTTGAATCCACCAAAGGGACACTGGGCAGACACCATGCTATAGCAATTCACCCTGGAAAGAAAAAAAAAGTATATTATAGATCATAATGAACCAATGAAATAACCCCTAAATCTGGAATTTTAGAAATTCAGCGAGTTCTTTAAAAATTCCATTAATTTCAATATAACATATTCATTGCAATAAGTATAAATCAGCAATTTTCATCTCATGGCATACATAAATTATTAAAATTCTATGGCACACCAAAACACACAGGTATAATTTACTCACACTGGATGGTTGTTGTGTTGGCTATTGTATTTTTTTTTTTTTTTTTACAATCTAAGGGAAAAGAGGTAAGTGCCCCAGACTAAATAGTTAGGTACTGCATGTTTTAAAAATTCCTGTGGCACACTGGTTGAAAATTGCTGCCCTGGCCATAAAATGGTTTCTTTTCCTTAGTTTTATTAGTAAGCTTTGTTTTCCTCGACCCTTTAATACAGTTCCTCATGTTGTGGTGACCCCCAACCATAAAATTATTTTGGTTGCTACTTCATAACTGTAATGTTGCTACTGTTATGAATCGTAATGTAAATATCTGATATGTAGGATGTATTTAGGCGACCCCTGTGAAAGGGTCGTTTGACCCCCAAAGGGTCGCGACCCACAGGTTGAGAACCGCTGGTCTAGGAGGCGTTATAAACATATCATCAGCCTCATCCAGCCCCAAGGGGTGATATCTGGATCAGAGTACAAGAGGGTCCAATCCTGGGACCAGGGACAGAAGACTAGGGAGGAAGGTGCAGGTAGGGCCTCCATTTTCTTCTGTGTTGTTTTTTTCCCCCCCTTGCTCACTTCCCACATTAAAGAGGCCCCTTTTTCTTCTTTGTGTGCCTTATGTCTTCTTCAGGTGGGTTGGAGAGAATTTCAAAAAGCTGTCTATAAATTGCTCAAACTAATTTAGAAGTCATTCTGCATTGTGTATCCAAGCCTACACTTTCAATAATGTCAGAAAAGTTTGCTTCATTTTGGCAATGCAGCAACGAATTAAATGCCATTTTTACTAAACCTACAATGACACAAAGCTGGAAAATATAGCTACAGAACTAAAACAAATTCAGAATTGTCTAGACACTCTGGAGTGTCTTGTCTAACTCAATAAAATGAAATATATCAGAGATAATTGCAGAATTCTAAATTTAGGGTAAAAAAAGAAAACCAGCTGTTCAGGACGGATGAGTTACCTGGACAATGTTTGTTCATATGGAAGAACTGGGGACTTTAATTAATTACAGGTTGAATATTTTGCAACACTATGATGTGTCTGCTGAAAAAAACCTACCCAATCTTTGACTGCATGCAGGGAAGTGAGGTGGAGATCATAGGCAGCCCTGGTCCTCCGTGGGCTGTGGTTAGACCACACTGAAGTACTGGGTTCCGTGGTAGGTACCACAATTCTTGGGGGATATTGACCAACTAGAGCAAAGCAGATAGGATGGTGAGAATCAGGAAATCAGAGATAATTAATATAATAGCATTTAGCCTGGAGAAGAAAAAATAGTCAACCAAAGGAACACCATGTCACTGTAAATATTTTAAAGGCTCAAGTGTCACAGACAGAATAAGTTTGTCTTTCCCTGCCAAGATGCAGAGCTAGCGCAAGGAGTACAAGTTAAGAAGGCAGATGTCAGTTCAGCGTAAGAGCTATTCAACAGCTGAGCCATTGTCCTGGAGAGGGGGAGCTCCCAGAGTCTAGAAAGTACTATGGCTTGGAGAAGAACTTGACAGTGGGCAGCGATGAGAAGTGGGAGAGCATTACTTGTTTTATTTATACTCCCCTATCATTGGTCGGCAAACTGCGGCTCGCGAGCCGCAGTTTGCCGACCACTGCAGACCAAAGGAGCCACCATTGTCTCTGTTTTCCCCCAATTGGATTCATTTAGCTGATTTCACCTGATATTTCTTCCCCCCACCCCCACCCCCCTTGGGCCTCGACTTGGGAGCCATTGACATCAGCTGGAAGATCATGTTCTCTAGCTTCTGAGCAGGGACCATCACTTTGGAAAACCTGAGCCCCTTAGAAATTCTTCCCACAATGAAACTCAAGCTCTTGTACTCATCCATTTGCTTATTATCAGAAAGTCTCACTTTGCTTTTTGAACATAATATTAAGCAATTATTGTTTCTGCTGCAAAAATATTCTTCTTCCATATATTGTACTTTTATTTTTGCAGCAGAAATAATTGCTGCAGAAATAGTTTTATTTGGTAATTTCTAGACATTTTTCTTCCCTGCTCTTAAAAGTAATGACTAGAACTTTGATAACATAATGATTTTAATAATAATTAAATTTATTACACAAAGGGGGGGAAAAGATGAACAGGACGTTTTTGCTCTAAGGTTTGCTTGCACAGTTAAAACTTCTCCCTGCAAGGCACAGCCATACAGCCCTGAAAGAGACTGATCACCATGCATTCATCACCCCTTACCTACAGCTTATTCCATTGAGAAAGACAGGTAGCCTCGTTCTTAAAATCCTTGATGCAGGAGCTTAGGAGATTTATAGCTCAAATTGTTTTTTTTAGGAGGATACAAGACGGGCTTCAAAATCTCTTAGAATAAAATAACAAAAACAAAACAACAAATACTTTCATAGTGCTTCCTATATGCCAGGCACTCTTTAAGCATTTCCATAATATAATTTATTTAATCTTCACAATAACCCTGTGGTAGGTGCTATTGTTATCTCCATTTTATAAACTGAGAAAATATGGCATAGAGAAGTTACGTAACTTGCCCTGGGTCACAGAGTTAGCAAGGCGAGAGGCTAGGAAGTTGAGCTCATGAGCTCTCACTCCAGAATCCAGGCTCTTAACCACCATGCTATATATACCACCATACCACATACTCTCTCATATTTAGAACAGTACAACTCCTTAAGATAAATCCATGACTAAAGTTTCTAGTCTCAACATCTATCACCTTTTTTAAATGCATGTACTTTTTCCATTATAAAAATAATGGTGTAGTAGCTAAGAATCCTGACTTTAATGTCAGATAAACCTGGACTCAGATGCAAGTTACTCAATGATAAGTTACTTAATTTCTTTAGTTTCCTTATATGTGAATCCATAGATTTGTAAAGAGGATTAAGTGAGATAAAACATGGAATGTGCTTAAGCAGGGTGCCTGGCCCAGAATCAGTGCTCAGGAATATTACCATCTGTTACCATGTATTATAATCAAAGAAAATATGGGAAGCCTGAGAGCAGCAATAAGGAAACACCAATAGTTCCACCACCTGAACTGCTTTTGAACTGGTTTTCCTTTTGTCTTTTACCTTTGTGTAAGAGAAAGTAATGTCTTGCTGTTGTTTATAATTCTGAGAGGGAGTCCTGGTAGCCAGAATGTCCTCTGTTTGCCGAGTCATGACAGGTGGTGGGGATAAAATATGGAGGTAAACATTGGGGTGTATGCGTGTGCATAATTGCTCTGCGTGATACAGAAAGGCAAGTGAGAATCCCAAGGGAGAAATGATGTAATCTCTGGGTTAGATTTTCTGAGCAGTCCCTGTTAAAGGCAGAGAAGGAAGCCATTCAGGGCCCACATTTTAGAGTTAGAGCTGTCCCAGTGATGTCTTTTATACCAGCTCCCAATTTGTTGACAGTATTGATGAATCTCTGAGAGCTGAGCCTGGGGCACTCGTGCAGAGAGACGTTCATCTAGCCCTCCATCCCCTCCAAGTCGTTCTTCTCTGACTCATTCTTTTCAGGTGCAGCCAAGGGGTTCTCTCCCATGGTTTCCTATCTCAACGTGGGCTCTTATGGAAGTGGGAGCACACCTGAGCCAACTTAAATCACATTAGTCAACTGTCCTTGAAAGCTTTAGTAGTAGGGAATGTGGACCAGGAAGAGCATTTCCTCAGGGGCTTGGGTTAAGGATAGCACCAGGATCCAGGGAGAAAATATTTGACCAGGCTCATTTATAATCACAAGCTAATGTTGCTCAGAGATAGCCTAGGGAAGAATGTTACTTACCACTAAAACCCAGGCACCAATGCTGTTATTTAATAATTTACCTTTTTTTAAAATTTATATTCACTAGTTGGATATTTTAAATTGGTTTAAAAGTTATCACTTATCCAGTAAGTAAATCTGGACTCTCAAGATTGCAGTGCTGTGTGTTGCCAGAATCATAACTCAACAAGAAAGATTAATGGGTAAAAATAATAAAATAAGAATAAGGGTGCCCAGCTGGTGTTGCTCAGTGGGTGAGCATTGACCTATGAACCACGAGGTCACGGTTTAATTCCCAGTCAGGGTAGATGCTCAGGCTCAATCCCCAGTGGAGGACAGGGGGGCATGTAGGAGGCAGCCAATCAAATATTCTCTCTCATCATTGATGTTTCTTTCTCTCTCTCCTTCTCTCTTCCTCTCTGAAATCAATCAAAACACATTTTTTAAAAAAATGGAATAAGGGCCTCTCTATTTCTATGGCTAACCTTTGGGGGAAAATTCATACAACCAAAATCTTCTTCATTAGCCACCTGTGGATAGATTTTTCAGCTGGGTCTAATCAGCCATGATTACTCCTTGCTGGCACTATAGTGAACTATTTACTCAGTTTGATAAAGTCTGTTGGGAAGGGGAAAAACATCTTGAAATTTAAGATAAATTTGAGCCCATTCTAGAGGATGTGCTCAAAGAATTTATTTATTTATTTATTTATTTATCTATCTATTTATTTATTTTGTTGATGTTGTTAATCCTCACCCAAGGATATTTTTCCATTCATTTTTAGAAAGAGTGGAAGGGACTGGGAGAAACAGAGAGAGAAAAACACATCAATATGAGAGACATCAATTGGTTACCTCCCACACACACCTGGACCAGAGCCAGGGATGGAAGTCTGCAGTGGAGATACGTGCCCTTGTCTGAAATCGAACCCGAGACCCTTCAGTCTGAGGGCTGACGCTCTATCCACTGAGCAAAACTGGCCAGGGCTCAAAGAAATCCTACACGTAAATCTTCAAGAAAGAAATATTACATGTAAATCTTCTGTTAAGCAGTTATTAGATATCTATCTATTATTTATTTTGTTGATGTTGTTAATCCTCACCCAAGGATATTTTTCCATTCATTTTTAGAAAGAGTGGAAGGGACTGGGAGAAACAGAGAGAGAAAAACACATCAATATGAGAGACATCAATTGGTTACCTCCCACACACACCTGGACCAGAGCCAGGGATGGAAGTCTGCAGTGGAGATACGTGCCCTTGTCTGAAATCGAACCCGAGACCCTTCAGTCTGAGGGCTGACGCTCTATCCACTGAGCAAAACTGGCCAGGGCTCAAAGAAATCCTACACGTAAATCTTCAAGAAAGAAATATTACATGTAAATCTTCTGTTAAGCAGTTATTAGAAAGTTGGCCAGGGTGAGCCCTAGCCAGGTGCACAAACTAAATTGAGGAGGAGTGAGGGGTGGGGTTTAGAACGATCAGCAGGTTCCAGGCAGAGCTGGGCCCTTTCAGGGAATGCCACTGGAAAAAATAACAAAGGTAAGAGGAAAGGGGCCCAGCCCTGGGAGTCCAGAAACTAAAACCCAAGAAGTCCAGGGGGTGAGGTTCTGGCCTTGTCAAGGCACCAATGAGAAGGCATGGGGTGCATGGAGAGGCCTGGGAAACCCCAAGTAACTAAAGATCCAGACTTAGGAGAACCATTAGCGAATCCAAAGAGGGCGTTCTCTGAAAGCATTTCACAGACATTGGGATCCTGTATCAGTAATTTTTAACATCAAGTAAAAAAAAAATCTAATAAAAGTGCGCCTTAAACAAGATGAACACATACCTTTCTCTCAAATAACGTGAAGTTGGGAAGTTGGTAGTCCAGAGCTGGTATAGTAGCATCAAAATATCATGGATGTCCCCGCCTTATTCTTCCAGCTGCCAACATCCTTCATTTGTAGTTTCCATCTTCAAGATTACCTCCTGGTCACGGGTGGTTTCTGCAGCTCCAGCCATCACATCTACCACACAGGTAGGAGCAAGGAGGAAGTGGGGAGAGCAAACACATGGAGTGAGCCAGTATGTTTCAAAGAGCATTCCTTGCAATATGCCGTCCTGTGACTTCTGCTTACATCTTTTCACCAAATCTGTTTCACATAATCAATCCTAATTAAAAGAGGGGCTGCAGACACATCGTTTTTAAGCTTCACACTGAGTTGCTTTAAGTAAAATTGGAGTTCTTTTAGTAAAGTAAAAGGGAATATAAATATTAAATAGTTAAGTAGTGGTCTATGCCACAACCCCCGCAACCACAGAATGACAAAAGTAATTTTCCACTCCCCAAATCATGTGCTGGGTGAGGCTCTCGATGTATTGGTGCTCTCTGGATGTGCTTCCACCAATTCTGAGGAAGAGCAAGACAGTTGTATAACTTATTCCAACACTTGGTTTCAGCTAAGTCAGGCTAAGGACAGATAACAATGACATTTAAAAGGAATGCCTAGGAGAACAGCCTGGAGGAAGTATAGCATATGATTACGGTGGTGGGAAAAGTGATGGGATCATGACTTTTCTAGTTTGCTGTTGGCATTTGTTTTCTTTTCTTTTTTTTAAATAGAGGATTTTCTGTTTTCCTATTTTAAGACTTCTCATAGAAGGAAGGCATTTGGGTCAGCCTACTTAAAGTAAGACATATGCCCAATGTGCAAAGTAGGTCAAAAGGCCACAAAATGTGTTTAGGAAACAAACCAGGGCATTGGTGGCCCTTGTATAAACATATTGTGTGTGTGTCGTACTCAGTTCCGTGTCAAAAGGTGCGCCTTAGTGAACTGGCAGAGGCCCCAGGAGGAAAAATTAAAAGAGAGCTGCCCCGGGGAAAGTTATTGAAGAGCAAAATAGGAGGCCGGTGGGAAGGGACCTGTGTTCTAGTCTTTTCACCACTCCTGCCTTTAAGCAGCTGCATAATCCTGGGAAAATTAACCAATGTTGTCCTGGATTTCTTACCTATAAGATGAGAGAATAGCACAGGATGGTCATTAAAATTCTCTCAGTCCTAAACAGTTTTATTTTCTGTGATTGTTGAACCCAGAGAGAAAACTATGAAATATGTATAAAGGAGGGGAGGGTAAGGAGGAAAGAAACTAAATAAGTAGCCTAATATGTGAAGAGGTTTAGCCAAGAGTAAAAAGCCTTGGAAGAGGAACATGAAAAATAGGAAGCCATTTGAGGGCGATTTTAGATGCGTGGTGGCCCTTTGGGTTGGGGGATTTCACATACCCCATCGATGAATTAAACATGTTGATTGCAACTCTAGCATCAGGAGGAAATCCCCATGTGCATCTGATTGCAGCCACCCAATTAAAATTCCTGAAAAATGTAATTACTTTTATAACTACCTAAATCAATGAGATGGACTAATTCCCTTAGAAAGTTTTTAACTCAATTATTTTTACAAGGTTTTAATTCCTCAATTCTCTTAACCTTGCCATATAGCTTTCCACAAGTCTTTTCCTCTTTAAATTTAGTGGTCAGTTTATTTCACTTTCTGAGTGCTTTTTAATTGAAAAAGTACCTATGTACTCTTAATTGGAAAATTAAGAGTGTGCATCTGTGTCTGCATGCACACAAGCACAAGATTGCTATGGTTCTTCTAAAATATTTTCCTGGAAAATACCTTATAGTCTAATATACTGCTCTAATGAGATTGTTTTTCAAATGCAAATAGAGTCCTGAATTCTGCAGAAGAAATGGAGCTTCTCTCTCTGCTCCATTTACAATTATCACACTAATTACAATTATTTTATAATAGCTCTTCCTTGAGCAAAGCTTTGCTGTTCTTCCTGCCACCAGCAACTTGAAAATAAGGAGGTCAAGTCTATTTCCTGGGTTGGTGGAGGAAGTCAATGAGCAGAATGTTAAAGAAGAGGAAACAGAAGAGTGTAAATTTAGCCCCAATTTGGTAGAAATCCAGGCTCTTCACCTTCGCTGTGGCCTCAGTGCAGCCTCCACTCTTTGGTCCCTAAGGCTGAGCCTTCAGGATTGCTTTGATAAGGTTGGGGGTTCCAAGGCCTCTGCTCCCAGTCTCTGCTTTCAAAACTTCCCTTCACTGCAGTATAGACACTCCTTCCCCTCCTTGTTCCTCCTTCTTACTCCCCAGATCCAGAGAAAGAGGTGCCTCCGTGTAAAGTTAATTTCTGTAATGCACACGCCTCCAAAGTTCTCAGAGACCTTTCCTCTGGGCTCCCCAGCTCTTATCAGGGCCCGACTCAGCACACTGTTGGAGACTAAAGCAAACCTGAGGCAGAAAATTCTAAAGGGCAAGGTAGCACTTCACTGAAGTTTCTGAAGGAGATGGAAAGGGGATACCCAACACTTCTTTAAAGTATTTTATAAAGTTCTCTCCTTTCCAAATTTCACGTCCTTCTTACCTCCATCTCCTCCCTCTGCTTCCCACTCCCCGACCTTTCTCTCTGGGAGTTAACTTCACCTCCTGGAGCCATTTGTCTTCCATCACCTTTTCCAGCGACCCTCTCCCTTCCTCACCAAGGGGCAACAAGGAACAATGCTTAGCTGCCAAAGAAAAATTTCTTTCTCTTTAGAGCTCAGGGGACTGGGTGATATTCATCATTCAACATTACAAAATAGGGACAAGAATCACACTTCATAGAGGTGTTGTGAGAATTAAATGAGATAATATAGGTGAAGTTCTTAGAACAGTGACTGCTATTCATCTGCACAGAGTGCTGTTGACCGAATGCCTTCTTTTGGTGCCTTTCGGATCTGCCTCAGCTTTCTAGCCAAGGCCACATCCAGGACACCCCCAAACTAAAGACATAATGGGTGGTCCTACTGCCTGGTTATTTCTGTTCAACATGGTATTCCTCTAATGGGCAATCTTTGTTCCTACGTCCCTCTTGGACTGGCTGAGCCTTTGACAGATCTGCATTGCGGACGGAGGCTCTTCCTGCCCAAGTCTGCTTCCTCTGCCCTTAACATTTCTCAGGCATTGACCCCTATAAATTTCTTATGCTTCTATTTCTGTCTTTGCATCTGCTCCCTGGAAAACCCAAATGACACATAGTACTTATCATTACTTAAACTTATATATTTATTTGTGTAATATCTAATTAATGTTTGCAGCACACTGAAAAATTCATGAGGAAAGGGGGCCACCCCTACACTTGAAATTATATTCTTAGTTATCTTCCAAAAATACACAAAGCCCTCAAAAAATATCTGTGGCAAGAAAATTAACTTTTACATGCATTATCTCACTAATCCTTTGAGAGAATTTCCATTATTGTGCCATTTTGAAGGTGAGAAAACTGAATGAGTGAGATTAACTTGCCCAACTTTGATATCAGGTGTGTTTGATATCAAAGATCTGAACCTCTACTCAGTGCTCTTCCTGGACAGGTGAAAAAGAGGATGAAATGACTTTTCAACTAGGACCCCTGGGTTTTCACCTTTCTGGTTCTTATTCCTACAAATATAGTGAGCTTGATTTGAAAAGGGATCTTACCTAATTAATTTTTTGTGTTTCTAATAGTGCCTGGTACATAAAAATGCTCACTCCATGTGTAGTAAAGTGGATGGGCAGTGGAGGGCAGGGATGATGCTTTAAGAAGATGATTTCTGCTGCCTCTATAGATGCCAGTAGAGGAGTATGAGTCAACTCTGTGGATTATCAAGAGGAATGGAAGCCCAGGACTCTGGAGCACAGCTTTCTCTAACCATAATTCTCCTGCCCCCATGTCTGAGTCAATAGGGCAGCGGCCTCTGTAAAGTTTCCATTCGTACTGCAAAGAGAATCAGTGCATCTGAGAGCCAATCATTTTCCCTCTTGCCTTCAGAGTTGTGATGTATTTCATGCAGCTAAGAATGAATTATTGCAGCAGAGCCTGGAAGGAACCTTAGAAAAAGATTTAGCCTATTTTTTGGGGGGGTGGGGAGGAGAAATTGAGGCCGAGGGAGAGAAAGCGACTTATCTAAGTAGCCGAGGTGGAACTGGAACAAGATCTCATGCCTCTGCATTCCTGACTCCCAGCCTGCAGAGGAAACTGAAGCTCTTTATTTTGTTTCCTAGCAGGAAAGCTAAATGTTGCTTCAGAGAGAGTCACAACCACATTTTGCTGGGATGTGGCCCAGGGGGAGAGGATTGGGCTGGTGAGGGGAGGAGGTGAACAGAATAGCAGTACTATGCAGGAATCAGTGTTTCCTAGACAATTCTGACTTCTGAAAATGAGACATACTCACTGGAAATAGAGTCATAACTGCTGGACTACAGAACTGCCTAATCTAGTTTGATGTTAGTGTTGGAAAGTCTGACCAAATTTGAGTTCTCCTGCATGACTTTCTCAAATCCTTAATAGTTCTAGCCCAAAACAATGCCTGCTTTCTTCCAAGGAGCTCTTGCCACTACACTGACATTGTCTCTGTGTGAATATTTGTACCTCCCTGGTGTTATTTCCGTCTTTTAAATGAGAAAAGGAGGTAAAAGTAGGTCTTGCCATAGGTCAAGCCCTCTCAACATTAGGACCAATCTCTCTTTGTTTACAAGGGTCAAAGGGATTCTCAGATCCGATAGATCAGGTAGCCCCAGTTCTCTCCCAGCCACTGGTCCTCCCTGGTGCCTGTCAGCCTGCCAAGAGCCAGTGCTGCAGCTCTCTTAGTGCCCATCATTATCCTGGTTGGCAAGGAGGCCCTGCTGGGTTTGGAGAGGGCCAGAGAATAGGGCCACAAATGGAAGGCCACAGAGAAGAAATGAAGGAAAAAAAATCCTGGGGAAATGCATCAAACAGTGCTGAGAGCAAAACTCTGGCTATGGACTGAGGATTGGCAAAAAAAGTGAAATAGCCCTGGTCAAGGTCAGAGCAGTGAGGACATCCTCAAGTTGGAAACCGAAATCAATTCTTCTTTCCTTTCAGCCTGGCAGCTGCATCTGCTGGGTGCCTAGGAAGCTGGAGCACGGAGGGACAGTCCTGGCAGCAGCCCCAGGGAAAGGCAAAAGGGCCCACAGGCACATGGCTGGAGCCAGGAAGGAGCTCATTCTCTGACCCTTGTCATGGGCCCCCTGCTAATAAAGGCAGAGCCACTCCATGGCCTGTGAAGGGCACCGTGGGAGTGTCTATTCTTGTGGGTTCCCATTTCCAGCATGATTAGTTTTTCATACATTTGTTTTTTAAATCTAGGAATCCTATGTCCTTGTAGCTAAAGCCTTGTTGTGATGAGAGTCAGGGTAAGAAGAGACGGTTCCTCAATTATAAAGTTTAAGATTCAGGGCAGTGAAGCTGCTGCATTTCTTGCCAGAATCAGTTCTTGCCAAGACAGGTCCAAGTGTTTTGGATCAATGAAGCAGGAGGAAGGGAGGTGGAGAATATGGGAAAAGAACACCCCTTGCTCTCTCTTCTGCTTCACCTCTTGGTGGAGTGCATAAAGGTGGATGTAATTTACAGCTGAGGAGTCGGGGAGGGAAAATAATATGGCCAGAACAACGTCATCTGGAGACAGATCTGACTGCCTCTATAACGGAGAATAATGAGAAAAGATGTGATGAACACTTATTGAGCACCTATCAGGTGCCAGGCATTATGCTGGGCACTGGGCATTCAGAAGCTAACAAGATATACCACTATGGGGTTCACATTCTAGAAGAGGAGGAGATAGATATGCTCACAGACAATCTCAAAACAAGGCATAATGTAATAGGTTCAATCAAGATGCAAGCTGCATGCTACAGAAGACAGAAGAGGTGAGAATAATTCCATCTAGAAGATCACCTGTTGGAGGAGGTGATATTTGATCTGAAATTCAAAAGATGATTTTCTTTTCCTTTGCTTTGTGCATCAATGTTTTGCTTATTCAAATAAATAAATGTATTAGCTTAAGAAAATGAAATATCTCCATGTTGCACTCTAACAACAGCAGCAACAATATGTGTGGTGGGTAGCACTTGGGGACATTATCACCACCTGTCAGAGCTAAGGTTCCCACTCAATTGCCAATAGCCATGAAACAAGGGAATGCAGATTCTGGGAAGAACCCAACAAAGTACAATAAGAAACAGGAACTTCTCCGGGGCAATTGATAACACATTACTTAAGAAAGCAATATTGTCCTTCCCCAATAATATGCAGCTATTGCATCCTGTGGCCACAGCTTAAATCATATTTGTGACTCACTGTTATTTTTTTAAAAAAATATTTTTATTGATTTCAGAGAGGAAGGGAGAGGGAGAGAGACACAGAAACATCAATGATGAGAAAGAATCATCGATCAACAGCCTCCTGCATGCCCCCTACTGGGGATAGGGCCTGCAACCAGGCATGTGCCCTTGACTGGAAGTGAACCCAGGACCCTTCAGTCAGCAGGCCGATGCTCTATCCACTGAGCGAAACCCGCTAGGGATCACTGTTATTTTTCATGTGAAATTGCTTTAAGAACATAGCAAGTAGTCAAGTCAGAGATTGAAACACCTCACCCAGGTGTTTTAACCAGAGGTCAGCAAACATTTTCTGTAAAGGCCTAGATAGCAAATACTTTCATCTCTGCAGGTCACATGGCCTCTGTTACAACTACCCAACTCTGCCATTACATCATGGAAAGCAGCCATAGGCAATATGTAAATGATGAGTGTGGCTGTGTTCTAATAAAACTTTATTTACAAAAGCAGTGACCTGGGTTTGGTTCTAGGGCCATCGTTTGTTGAACCCCTGCTTTCAACCATCAGTTTAACCTGACTCTCCTCAACCCTGCTGCCCTCCCACTTCTGTAACATGAAGGCAGTGGAGGTATCCATTAAGAGCCTCACTCTTCTTTCACGCACACACCATTTCATTTCCTGATTCATCGTTTTCTCTTTACATTTTAAAATAAAAACATTCCATCCCTACTTTCTAACCTATATTTCCATCTCCATTTTTTTCTACGTCTAGCCAGGCATATCTTAATAGTTACATAGACTAATCTCATCCTTAGCAACAATCGTGGCTAACCTGCCCTGGAAACAGAATTTCTAGAGCTCTATCCGGTGGAGCACAGGTTGCTAGTTGTAGACCTCAATATCAATTCTACTTTTTCCTTAGTAATATAACTCCCAATATTTATCTAGGCTTATAGCCACCTGGAATATAGTCATTTCCCGGTCGCTTTGTAGCCGAGTATGACCAGGTGATTAAGTTCTAACTAATGTGACATAAACACATATGGTGCAGAGCCTCCCAGGAAACCATTTTAGAAGGCAGCTGGTGGGTGTCCTCTCCCATTCTTCATCTTTTTCTCCACGATGCTATGTGGGAAAATGGTGTGATGACTGAACTCCAGCTGCCCTCTTGGACCTTGAGGACAAGGAGTCTGTCATAAGGATGTCAAAACAGTGAGCTGGAAGGAGCCTTAATACTTGAGGATTGTGGATCTCATACTAGCCTTGGACCAATTTTCGCCTGATAAAGAAATAAACTTCGACCTTGTTTAAGTCACTGTTACTTGAAGCCATGCTTAATCCTAACGAATTCATTCAGATGCTTTCAAATTCTAAATAAGGATGTTTATTTTTTTTTGAAATATAGCCT